CCTTTCTTAAGCGAACGTAACCCAATCTAATCTACCTAATCTTAATATAACCTAACCTTTTGGAAGTTACGTTTCAATCAAAAATGAAGTAACTTAAAAACTATCGAAAATTACTAAACCGGCGCATAGCTCTTAGTTTTAGTTTTAATTGCTCTAAGTTTAATAGTTTTGAATTTCATTGAGATCCGTTCAGAACGGAGACATGCACTGGGCTGCTCAATAATTCTGTTGTAGCGCAACAACTGCGTGACTGCGGCAGTGATGAACAGTAGCGCAACAACTGCGTGACTGCGGCAGTAATGAACAGTAGCGCAACAACTGCGTGACTGCNCAACAATATGACCCATTAAAGTGGGTCACAGTTTTAACAATATGACCCATTAAAGTGGGTCACAGTTTAACAATATGACCCATTAAAGTGGGTCACAGTTTTAACAATATGACCCATTAAAGTGGGTCACAGTTTTAACACTATGACTCATTAAAGTGGGTCACAGTTTTAGCACTATGACCCATTAAAGTGGGTCACAGTTTTAGCACTATGACCCATTAAAGTGGGTCACACTTTTAGCACTATGACCCATTAAAGTGGGTCACAGTTCCAGCAATATGACCCATTAAAGTGGGTCACAGTTTTAACAATATGACCCTACAAAGCCAGTCACTGTTTTAACTGTTTAAGTGCCACGTTGATATATCTGCTTCATATAGAATAGAATAGAAGTGTCGGTACTGAAGAAATAGGCCCATGGCCTGTTGCCGTATAAAAAATGGATGAATTTAATGTTTAGTCTTGAAATGCCCCCTATCGCACGGAACAACTGAAACCTAGAATCGATTTTAAGGCTATTCTTGTAGATTTGTGAACAAGTACAGGTACGAAGAAGAAAACGACAAGTCAAGAAAAGTACAAGAATAGGCGACAGGCCTATCCAGGCCTATTCTTCAATGCCGAAGATACTATACTACTACTATACTATACTAACTCACTGAGTGAAAGATTCCCATCGTAACCTACAAAGTGTTGTAGAATTAGTCTGCTTACATTGCAAGGTCGCCAGGAATTTAAGATCAAACAAAACACCAAGCAAATTCATCTTACATTCGTTATTAACAGAAAACGTTGACAATTATTTGAACAGACAATGGAACTGGTCTGCAAAACATTTCGCTGAATACTGTATAGGGTGAATTTACTTTGCGTTATAATTACTTACTTATATTACTTTTATATGGTTTTCGCCAGCCAAGCCCGTCCGCGGCCGATGACATTAGGAAGACTTGCCAGGATCAGGCGAGCGATTCTCGACTTTATTTAGTCTACGCTGCAAATCGGGAGCGGATATTTTCTATGAAACTGCACAGAAAATATGAGGCATTTCTAGGGTAGACTCGCGTGTTCTAGGCTGGATCTGCAGGAGAGTTAGGAAAGGATGGAATATACGGCAATAGGAGGAAAGAATGTACGGAAATTAAAGTATTTAATGCATGTTAATTGAAGAATGCAATGAACAGCAATGAAAAACGGCTCCTCATGTTAGGTAAATTAAGATGGGATCTGAAAACTGAAAATATTATTTATTTAATTAAAGAAGCAGCATGCAATTAGCCGGCTATTGCGACAGCGGCACACGGGTAACAATTGCAATATTTATTTGGGTTGAATTTACAAGAAGAACAAAATTGGGGCAAAGTTCAGTGGCTGCGAAGTAGGATTTTACCGCCGCGGTCAACAAGCGAAGCCGTCGAGCTGTGGGCATACAAACGAGCCTTGATTTAATGTAAAATAAAACAAACTCTCGAATTGTGGCATGAAAAACATAGTGATATCTGCTTCATATAAAACATGCATGAATTTAATCAAAGTCTTTCTCGCGAAGATAAATAGAATAAAATATAACCGGAATGTGCATTAGCAGCGCCTGAAGTGAGGCCGCTGTTATCTTCAAGGCCGCGATAAGCTGATAAGGCGCGCGTCTCTCCCGTGTAAGCTTCACCAAAGTGAATTATAATATAATTGCCAAGACAATTTTTCGTTCAAATATTCTTTACAATATTCGGTAGGTAACACTCACGTGTTTCTCTCCCAATTGTTGGGAAATATTAGCGCAAGCTCGTATACAGGATACCTGCTGCCCCGTCCCCCGCAGGCTGCATCCTGCGTATACAGGATACCTGCTGCCCCGTCCCCCGCAGGCTGCATCCTGCGTATACAGGATACCTGCTGCCCCCGTCCCCCGCAGGCTGCATCCTGCGTATACAGGATACCTGGCAGGTTCTCAGTTGCCTAACTCCGGGATAAGGACGCGTTGCTTGATCTTTCTTTATATTGTATTTAGTAAATACTTGAAACTTGAAGCGCGGTCCAAACTCCTGGCAAGAAATAACAAAACTGAAATGATTAAAAGATAATATCAATGGCATCACTAACATATGTACAGAATTGTTCATACTGGTCAATATATACAGAAGCAAACTAGAATATACGTGCACTAAATAAATCACACAACGGATAACACGAGAGATTATAAACACATATTAAATAAGACTGCACAAACAGACGCACGTTGCCAGTTCTCGGCCAGCAAGGGGTGTGCGTAAAGCCTGTTCTCTGGACCTAACCTACGCATTCCTCGGGCGCATAAACAAAATCTGTAAGAAAATTAATAACAGAAGAATGCTTAGCGCGACAGCGAGGCCGGGAGATTGTTGATGACATACAAGCGGGAGGTGACGTGTAGAATGATGTAGAAATTTTATCTAGGAATAATAGAGTGTTTAGAATGATTATAAAATGTCATCCATCATTTACGCACCAGCATTTACTCAGTCAAGTCTGTTCCCTCAGTCAAGTCAGTTTCCTCAGTCAAGTAAGATCCCTCAGTCGAGTCAGTTCCTCAGTCGAGGCAGTTCCCTCAGTCAAGTCAGTTCCCTCAGTCAAGTCAGTTCCCTCAGTCAAGTCAG